AGACGAACTGTTCATGCATGCAAAAGCTAGCTAGAGGAGTACTACGAAACAAAGGAACCAGGAGGCCGGCATTGGTGGCACCACCAGATGGAGCGTATGCGAATGAATAATATGCGTGTGAGTTGTAACCTGCAAGCAATGCAAGCTGAGAGAGGCCGGGCGCGGGCGGCGTCGCCATCGGCGGGGCACGGAGACGACGCACACACAGTGCGGCAGCGACACCCAGCTCGACAGACAGCGGCCTCACATGCCCCGGTTCACGCGGCCATCATGTATGTGCGATCCCCGGGGGACACTCGCCGGCACCGCGCCTTTCGCGCTACACCACCTCGCTCGCCCGCTCGCTCTCTCTACCCGCTGACGCGACAACATGGGCACATGGCTGCATACATTTGCCGATAAATCCTCCTCAGCTAGCTCCAACAACCATTGATCGACGAGACGACGACGACGCCTCATGCGCATGCATGGCCACCATCCATCCAGTACTAGCTAGCTAGCTAGCGGCTGTTGGTGCGCCGCGACCGGCCGTGTGCATGCCATTCGGTTACTACGACGTGTGCGCGACGCCTCTAATTTGCCGCGCGCCGCTCGTTCGGCAAGCATGGCTGCGTGCTATAGGCCTGCATGCCGACGGATGCTCCAGCTAGCTGTCCAGCATCTCTTTGCATTGTCCAAGCTAGCTACTGCTAATCAGACACGGACATTATTCGAAGGTAGCCTAGCTAGCTCATCATCACACGTACCGGTCAATTCATCCAAACCATATGATTGCGATCGATTGGTGCCGCTGCTTTTTGACGGATGGACACATGCATATGCGACTTGATCGATGAGCGGATTAAGCGCATGCAAGTCAACCACTAGTTTGACAACACCTAAAGATCGTTGCCCGGCCTGTTTTATTTGCGTTGCTTTCACCGGTTTCACATCGGTCAGATTGTGAATTCTGATCGATGCATGTCCTAGCCTGCATAAGACAGGATAACGACGACGACGTACGGAGCGTCTGTGTGAGATGACTGATCGACGACGGCTCGTAGGGTAGGGATCGGAAAAAAGGGACGATTGGACGAAATAGGCGATAGGATTTTGGACGGCCAATGTAACCAGTGTACAGTATCTTTCCAGATGGAATTGAAAACATCCATGTGCATATTGATGTTGAGTTGCTGCTGATTTCAGTATTTCAGTCGTCCAGCATGTCCCCTGTCAAGTTTTATGTACCAATCAAATTGTACCCTTTTTCTGTATAATATATACAGTTCTATTCTACTCCTGACTCCCTTGGCAGCTACTCTATTTTTTTCCTTATATATAAGAGGACGACCTACTCTGATGGTTAACTTTGTCAATCAAAAGAAGAAAAGGAAAAATAGACAAGTACCGCACTAATCTTGTTGGGCCAATTAGGCCCAACAAGAACTGGCCCTGAAATGTAGGCTTCTGATTTTGAAGTGCTTGGGCCGGGCCGGGAGGACGGTCTTTCTGAATTGCTGACGAAACACGGTGTCACTACTCACTAGCATGCGCCTCTAACAGGCTCTGACTTCGACTATGTGCAGAAGGCCATAAATTCCAGTTTTCTAGAAAGAACAAGTCAAAGTCATCTTTTCTCTTTGGTCAATAGTACGCTGGATCATCAAGATTACTAGGCGTCCGGAAAACCTGCTCCCTCCTGTTGAGTGTTGACCCATCGGAAAGACTTGCTTTGTTTTCCCTTTTAATCATCAGGTGCGTCATTGACCCACTGATGAACTGAAATTTCCAAGGCGGCAAAAAGTAGTACAGCTGTTAGGTAACACCACGAAACCCCTTCAAACAAAGTGTAAAACATGGAACAAGTTTTCAGCAATAATCTTAGACAGCAGCACAACTTTGAAGTTCCATGTTTTGCTTTCACAAGGCAATGCCGTTGGTGATTAATTCCATATAAAAATCGGCCTGTCAGGACGTCCGTCCGAACAGGATGGACCCGTCCCGCACCGCGCGACCCTGCGCCCCTGCGTCTCGCGCCTCGCACGGTCACACCAGACTCATCTCGCGCCGCGCCCCAGCGTCTCCCGTCTCGCACCGAACGCGCCTCGTGCCGCGCGCCCCTGCGCCTCTCGCTCGTGTCGTGCATCTCTGCACCTTGCACCTTGCATGCTCGCACCAGACCCGCCTCGTGCCGTGTGCGTCCCGCGCCTCACGCCTCATGCGGCGCACACTCGCCCGTGCCTCACACCGTTCACGCCTCGCGCAGCGCGCTGCCCGCGTCTCGTGCCTCGCGTCAATCTTCATTGGGCAGCAACAAGTAGATGGGCACTCGTTGCAACCGTATGTTTCATGCATTTCAAACGTATGTTGCATATGGATTCATCTGGATGTTGTAAAAGTAGGTCTGGTGCTACATATGTTGCAATGGACATACACATGTGTTGCAAGTGTATGCTTCAAATGGTTTAGCTGTTTCAAACGTATGTTGCAAGTGTTTCATCTAGATGTATGTTGCAAGTGTGTTTTCTATATGTTTTAGCTGTTTTCATCTAGATGTTGCATATGTTGCAGTGGCTATACACGTATATTGCAAGTGTATGTTCCAAATATTTCACCTATTTTCGGATATATGTTGCAAGTGTTTTATCTGGATGTTGTATATGTTGCAATGGTCATACACATATGTTGCAAACATGTTTCAATTGTTTAACCTGGTTTCAGTATGTTGCGGAAGGTGCGGCTACACGCACTCATCCAACGCTACCTATCTCTGTCAAACAGGCCAGCTCAAACAGTTAGACGTGCACACAATGAGTGGTCCGTGCCCGAATGGCCGAGCACCCCCTGGTCAAAGTGCATGCGTGCATACAGAGCGCCAGAGCGGGCCAATGCCCAACAGACGCAGACCCAGGTGCCCCTGCACCACCAGGCTTGGTCCCCCATGGTGGAGCATGCAGTCGGGGTCAACACAGGTGTACTGTGCTCCCACCCTCTCTCTCACATGCAGCTGGGCGGGCCTCAAGCATATGCTCTCGTGTGCAGGTGTAGCAGTAGCATGCGCGGACACAGCAGCAGCATGCACGGGGTGCGAAGCATCGCGGGCACGCGCAGCAGCACGTGGGTGCGTGGGCGTCTGGACACGCGCGTGCGTTCAGACGTCCGGACGCTAGCATAACCCTATAAAAATGAGAATACACAGGACGTCCACCAGTTTTTTTTAGTCCAAAAAAGTTTGCGAAAGTTTAACCACCACAGCCTTGAACTCTCGCTGTATCCACATCATTGAGTTTTTTTTATAAACATAGTAGAAAAACAGATAATGACATATGTGTATATGCACACAAACTCCCAGTTATAACATAGTCACGCTCAACCGTTATGAGTACCTCTATGAAACTAAGCCGGCGTCTCTAGAGATTGATGAAGTTATCATAATTTTCTCATTATTGATAAACACATTGATACGTATTGAGCAAACATTGTCGTTTCTTATCAAATTCTGAGAACATGTGCCGACCCTTAGAGCTTAAACCTAGGAGTAAGTAGACAGGTTTCGCCACGAGGAGTTATGGGCTGCATTAGTCTTCCCTTAACGATCCAAACAAGTCATCCCTTGCACTGATCAACTATACCATCGATCAACTACAGGATATCAACCTGTTCAATTTTTGGTCAGATATGATTTTGGGTTTTCCAATTCTGCTGTGCGCTCTCTATTTATTCTCTTAATATTAATGGTTCGATTGGCATCAAGACATCTGTAGTGATTCTGTTAATAATTGGAGGTGTTCATAAGGATTGAGTGCACATAGGAGTAACGGTACATATATTTTCCGACCGTATTTAAGACCGAATCCGTTTAAAGGAGTTGCAGATCTATTCGTATCCGAGTCCAGATATTCAACATCCGATCCCGTATCCATATGCAAATACTCAAATCGCATATTTATTATGTCGATATCCAATCGTATCCTATCCGACATAGTTAACATTATGTATTCAAATCCGAATTCGAATAAAAGTATGAAAACAAATGTAATATCGGTGATATCCGTTCGTAGTTGATCCATTTACATCCCTAAGTAGGAGTGAACATTGTGCTAGGATATTGAGTGAACGTACTCAACTTTTAGAAAACTTGTTCCACGACAACTCTATCCTTTGAACACTGAACAAAGTTTGAATTTGACAACTACTGCTCCGTTCTACCCAGATGCGGATGACCGCAGTGTTTCAAATCAGATTTTGACGCTGCAGACGAATCATGAAACAATGCATGTTTTTTTATAGAACAGGAGGGATTGCACAATGGTAGGGAAATATCTTTTTTCCTAATGGGCTCCAACCCATTAGGATAAGCATCTCCATAAACAAAGGCAAGGGTACCTACATTTTGGGACATTCAAGCCGAGTATGCAGCTGAAGATTGGCAGCTCCACATTTTTCATTTCTTCTCTTGGCCCGTTTCGATCATTGGAATTGAATTTATTCTAATAATTATAATTTATTTATAGATTAATTAAACTAATATAGTTGTATATAAAATATATTTGTATATTATTGTTAGCTATACAAGGGATATACTTTATATGTTGTATTTCTATTGTAGGGAAATGAGTTGAAGAGTATGTTATAAATTGGAGAGTATAAATATAGCATGGTAATCTATAGAATCCATTTCCATCTCCCACCCTATGAATTTGAGATGGACTTATTTTTGTGAGCTTTGAAAAATTGTGGAATGTCAAATTTCAATCAAAATAGCTTAATACATTAAATAGATTCCAATTCCTCTAAAACAAAGGGATCCAAACAGGCCATAAGAGAACTCTAGCACTCTTTGTGCAGTGTAGTAGATGTTCAACAAGTTTGATCACAACCGTCAGCGCAGAGTACGCAGCTGAAGATTGGCAGCTCCACATTTTTCATTTCTTCTCTAAAGTTCTCAACAGAAGCCAACATGTTTTAGATAACACGAAAGGCTTCCAAATCCCCGTGAAAGCTGGATATAAAAACCAAACTTAAAGATGCCCATTGTCACCTGTTCCCGCACGTGACAGGTATTCACAATTCCGGGTCAACAAGGCAACAGAAGCATCTGCCACACGGCTCATCCTGCATTGCATTGGCTGCAGGAGGCCGAAGCACAAATGTTCCATACGTATTTACAGTTGATAATACTACGTTCACTTGGCACAGAGCCACAAACAGACGCGCAGTGATGGAGCAGAAGGACGTGGCGATCAGTATGCACAACTTCGAACCAAAATTTGGCGGCACCGGCCGGGCGGATGAGCCCTGCCTTTCTGTCTGCACTGAAGCCTGCGGCGCCGTGCATCTTCAGATTCCTTTCTTCCACCCAGTGGTGACGGCGATACGAGGAGCAGAAAAGTGTCATACTGTCATACCATGCATTGCTTCAGTGCCTTGGGCGTTTGGCCTCCCTTTAGTCTTACCTGCATAAGTTTGAATCAGGGTTTAGTAAACGACATTTTTTTTTGGATGGCGGTGGTTTTTTTAGAAAGGACGGTAAAAACTTTCACGCAATTTTATTAGACGACAGTGGTGATGGTGAAAGTTGGGTTTTTTTTTTCCAAAAGCATGTGTTAGAAATTGTGAAAACGGCCGAGTTTTCAGTTCACTTTCATGACAGCTAGAATCTGACGAAGTCTCTGCGATTCTCTAGCCTCGACGATCACGCCAAACGAACTATCAAGGCACTAGCTCACAGTGATAGGCCAAAATATATGCATTCAGTTGTGATGTCGATTGATGTCCCTGTTCACGGGTGGCTGCTATATTCTAGATATTTCTAGAAGGGGGGCCTGGGATCTTGCTCCTAGAGACCTGTCCTAGCCCGGTTTATTTGGACTTGTTTAGCTGATAAATCATGGCTGAAAGCACTGTTGGCTGATTTGATATGAGAAAAAAAATATTATTCGTTGGCTAAAAAAATATGACTTATACCAAATCAAGCCCAAGCGAACAGGGCGCTGATCGGCATGCTGCTACCTGCTACTTTGACGTCCGAGGCGTGGAAAGTGTGTTTCAAGTCAGGCGAGCGGACTATTTCCTCATGAAATTCGTCTGCGGATTCTAGGTGGGTTGTTGTCTGTGCATTCTAGGTGGGTTGTTGAACTTTGACTCCGCCTGTTCATGGAGGAATACTGAGAGTGGCAGTAATAATGCAAGGCAAATGCAACCGCGGTCTGTTTCGCTATCTGAACAATACGAACGAGTCTACAGACAGATGGGTTCAGTTCGTCCTGGATAGAAACAGCAGGAGCTGTGTTGTGCTGACAGTTGGAACGGCCAGGCATGGCCGGCAAAAGCAGATTCCATGGCGGAACCCGGATTGTCCTGCGCGTTTACCCCGTCTTTTTGGCCGAAAGCTGGTGGTTAACCCACCCCCAGAAATTTCCTTGATTATTCAGCAGAAGAATCTTGCCTTATCCCAAAAGCACGAAGTGCAAAGCGCGACCCATGGTGCGTGTGCGTATGTGTTTTCAGTGAAATTGCGAAAATTCTTTCTGCGAATTTTAAGGCAAGAACTGAAGAATTGCAGTGCTATTATAGCGAAGGAAGTAGAGAGAGGACTCACCGCTTCGACGTCGATTCTGTAGACGAGCAGGCGTCGGCGCTCGCGGCAGGAGGCGCGGTACGCCATGGCGAGGTGTGCGACGGCGAGCGCGAGCGACATGAGGAACATGGCCTCGACAGCGACGAGCTGGCCCTTCCCCTGCCACTCGAGCCCGGCGCCGGCGACGCCGAAGACCGCGACGGCCTTGGCGAGGACGTAGCAGAGGGATGCGGCGCTGCATGCGACGGCGACCCACCTGTAGGCGGCGCCGCCTCCGCCGCCTGCGGTGTACGCGCAGAGGATGAGGAGGGAGCGCGCGGCGGAGACCGCGGGGAGGTCGACGAGCGAGGAGCCGAAGTGGAAGGCCCTGGCCTGGCCGGCGAGCGCGGCGGCGAAGGAGACACCGGCGGAGGAGGAGGAAACCGGCGGGGCGTGTGCCTGGGCGCGGAGGAAGTTGGAGAGCAGCGCGGGCGGGAGGAGGAGGTCCAGCAGCACGACCAGCAGCGGCGGCGCGCACACGAGCAGCAGCGACGCCAGCATCGCCACGATGAAGAAGGCCGTCTTCGCCCACCGCCACAGCCGCTCGCTGTGCACCAGCGGCAGCGGCAGTTTCGTCTTCTCCATCGCTGGCTGGGCTGGACTGAGTACCGCCGATCAACGCCGCGTTCGCGTCAGATGAGTCCCTGGTGTTGCGGGACGAGAGAGTGAGGGCGGGCTGGCGAGTTCGGCTGGCGCTGTCCGCTATCCGCTATCCGCCAGAGGAGCGCGGAGTAGTTTGGCGGCGGCTGCGGGTTGGGTTTGGGGAGAGTGGATTCGGTCGGGGGCGGAGGCGACGCGAGCTTTTTATGCGAGGTGGGGGAGTTGGGATGGAGAAGTTTTTGTGCGCTGATGAGGTGGTCTCAGGTCAGACATGATGGTTTGGTATGAATTTGACCGGCCTGGTGGCCCCACGTCCACGGCAGCGCAACGGGCCGCGAGGTGGGGAGGCCTGGGGGCGTGCCGTGCGCCGCCGCTGCGGAGCTGCGTCAGCGGCTGCGTGGGAGGGGGTTGAGAAGCTTCCGCCCGCCAGGGGCCCCGGCTGCGCTTGCGGCTGTGGCGGGGTGGCGGGCGGTCGTGGACTCGTGGGCCGGGAGGCAAGCGGACGGCTCGCGTACCCAGTGGTCACGGGTTCGGCGCGGACTGCCGGTACGGTTCCCGTTCGCTTACGACTTAGGCCTCGTGAGTTTGCTCAGGATCCAATGCTGGAGCTGATTTGTTCCACCCCAGGAATGAGTGGATTCCTGCCTGTCACTCCTTCAGTGCATGTAACCATTTGTGCCCGTAACCGTTGCCTGCTTGCTGTTTGGTTAGGCAGTGCCATCGCTGACAGTCCAGGAACAGGAAGATGACTGATCTCTCTAGGCCATGTTCGTTTGCTTGTGGTACTGAACAAGTGTTGGAGTACTACAAATACATCTAATGAAATACATTACAGCAAAAACATGCTCTTATACGTTGCAGCAAAATAAAATAGATAAAATCTCTCATGTTTTGGAGTTCTTTTATCTGCAAGTCTCTCATCATGCTCTCATACATGTAGAGACAATGGGCAACAACAATAGCAGAGTACCACAGATAATGTGCAGCCACATATAAAGGACATGCTAGCTACTAAGGATGAAAACAGAACAGAAATATCCTGAACCGAACCGCATCATTTTCTATATTTAATCCGATCGAATCCGTATTTTCTTGTTCGACTTTACCGTTTTCGCTTTCGCATTTAAGATGTTTCGTATTTCAAATGTAAAAGTAGAAAACGGTTTAGACATTTTTCGACCGTTTTCTACTTTTCTACTTTTAATTTGAAATATTCCGAATTTAAAATTCGGTTTAAACCGAATTTGGCCTACTGCACAGGTCATACAGCCCAATTACAAGCTGCTCACCACGCAGCTGCGTTCTTTCTACTAGTGGCCAGCTGCCTTCTCTTATAAACGACGCCCAGCCTCATCTCCCTTCACCTCACGAGGTGGTGCTAAATGGCAGGAAGCCAGCAGCATCTACACGAATGCCCACCTGGGCCATAGCCCATCAAGCTCATCAGTTTAACCCCCACCTGCGAAGTCAATCATTTGATAGTTTTTACCTCAGCCGAATAAATCTTTGTTACTCAAAAGAAAAATCTGAATAAATCTTTAAAATAAAATACTACATCTATTTCAAAAAATTAATAAAATTATCCTAACTCAGTTCGAGTTCATATTTCTATAACATCTAATTTTAGTTCAGATTCTAAAATGGTATGCTAGTTGCTACATCTAATTTTAATTCATATTATCCTGCTAGCTACTAATTGCTTGTTTTAGACTTGTATTTATGTGTCGGCTATTGTGTTAAATACCTAAGACTAAGGATCATGCACTTGTTAATTATTATATGCACTTGAACTTTATCATGTATGTACTTAGTCATGCACTTGGTCCTACGGGTCAGTATTCCGTATTGAGTTTTCGTATATCGACCGTGTTCGATATAAATCCGCTCGAATTGGTTCGTTTTGGGAATTCTCGATATTTTGTAAGTTCGCGTTCGTTTTCATGTCCGGCTTTACCGTTTTCACTTTCGTTTTCGTATTTTAAATGTAAAAGTAGAAAACAATTTAGGAGTTTTTCGACCGTTTCCAACCATTTTCATCCTTACTAGCTACAGCCAAAAGTGACAAAAAGGTGCACCAAAAGGCTGCCATGATCCACTCATGGAATTACAATCTTCATAATTTAAACCAGTAGATAACTCATCTAAGCCTACTCAAGTGTTCAGGCACTTTGTCCAATCCAATGTTTCTTGATCATTGTCTCTCCCCTGAAAATGATAGCAACCTTTCTTTTACAAATAATTGAACGAAAACGACTTACGATGTAGTCTACCAAAGCATAATTGAATCAACATGTCAGTTTAAAAGCTTTGATTAGTTATGAAACTAGTCAGTGCCTTCACAGGCTCTATCCTATCTCTTGCAAAAAAAAAAACATGTTGAGTGGGCCTCTGTCAGTGCTGCTGCCATTACAGAAACATTAATAGAAGCAATTAATGAAACATGCTTTGAAGGTACAGTACGTCCTTCACTTTGACGGTATTTGCTGTTTTGGTAAACTGCCTACTAGAAAGACGACAGCTAGATGTCAAGAGAAGGATTTCACCAAATACAAGAACTAGGATGCTATTAAAAGTTTGACATCCTTTTAAACTTGCAGGTATCCTTCAGCAACTTATAAAAAATCCTTTGGCAAAAAAAAAGAGAAAAAGAAAATTGTACAAGCACTATTATCAATCTACTAAATGGTCTACATAGTCACTAACTCACTATCTTTAAAAAGAAAATGTACAGCTCCAGTTACAAGACTGAAACATATTCATTTCAGAAAAGTAAGACAGGAACCATGATAGCGAGAAAATCAAGCAACAAAGAAGATAATAAGATTGATAAGTAAGCAAGCAGCTCCTAAACAAATAGTGCAGTGAAAAATAAGCCCCTATTTGACTGTCATGGAGTGTGCGGTTCAGTAACACAATAAAAAGTTGAGCCCCTAAACTAATAGAAGGAAAAAAATCAAGTTTTTAGAAATTAAGTAGACTGACTTGTTAGACCATCGCATTTTTGAGCCAAACCAAAGTTGCTTCTCGATCTAGTTCACAACCACTTAGGAAGGCCTCTCTATTTTCTTTGCTCTTGATGAACACTGCAAATGCCTTTGCCTTTTCTTCCTTTGTCACTTCCATTGTGCTCAAAATGGATATACATCTTTTAATAGAGAAGTCATTACCTTGAGCAACCTCCTTTTCTTTGGCTACATATGCAGACTCATCGATATGGAGCAAGAAAAGATGGAGTATTTGCATACCCTCCATCAACCAGATAGAATTTGCCTGGAGGTACTTGGAAGCCCTTGCTCATAGCTAATCGTAGCACTCTAGGAATCTATAGCCGATCCCTCCCATCCACTAGAAATGAAAGTGAAGTTGAGATCGAAATCACATGCCACCATTACATTAATGCTTAGTGTGCCCTTCCTATTTCTAAAAGGAGAAGCTTTCTCAAAGGCTATGGAAATAGGAATATGAGTTCCATCAATGGCACCTAGACAATTCTTGAAAAATGGATAGAATCTAGAATTGTTTTGGATTTTTTATGCACTTGATTAGGATCAAGAGCTTGAAGGTAACGGCGAGAGAGTGCGGGAATGACCACTTTGAAGAAGTGGTTGATGTGATGATGGAAGGTGTCATTGTTGTGCCCAAAGAACACTTGGAGATCCTCATACGAGGCGTTGTGACTTAACATGTATAGGAAGAAACCCAACTTCTCCTCCACAGTTATCCTAGTATCAACAACAAGCCTTTTGCTTCTAAGATAATTTGCCAATTCTCTAAAGATGCGTGGTTCCATCCTAAATGCAGCTTGATAATTCTTGACATGTCCCTCGAGGAGTCTACGAACTTTAACCTCGTCTGTTTCTTCCGAAGTATGATGTTTCTTCTTTTCCCCTCCTCTAGCAGAACTCATAAGATATAAGGTGGGGAAAATAAATAGCATCATGTCATCGTCTTCTTCCTCCCTCCTCTTTCTAATACGATCTCGTAGTGAGAGACGCATTGCAGGACTAAAGCATACAATTTTATAGTCATATAGAAGCTAAATATTATTAACCATGTCATATAGAAGTTATATTATTGACCATGTCATATAGAAGCTGTAATAAAGATTATAGTCATCTTATAGAAGCATATATAAACTTATAGTCATATAGAAGCTTTTAGAGTACCTTTTGGAGTTGGTACCGGATCCCAAGAAGGCGGAGGTTCACCTTCCCCAACTCTAAATGGTGCTAGAGAGATCTACAAGTAACAAGAAACCATTTGGCAAATCAAGACATCATCTAGATAATAATACAAGTAACAAAGTGAGCTAATAGGCTAGGTATGTCAACTTCAGCCTTCACTACAGACTGAAACAAAGGGACATTCCTTTCCCTGGCGCGTGTTCGTCAAAAAAGTGCAAATCAAAATAAGCTTGCAATGTGAATTCACTCAAAAGGAGCAGAGGTGTAACTCCATATCTATTTGCATTGGCTGACTACCCTACTTTTCCAAGGTTTTCTAATAGTTTTCCATAAGAGTGCAACATGCTCTTTTTTTCTAACAGATAGCTAATGCTACAGCAATGTAGCAGTCCAACATCAGGAGCAAGCTAGCACCTCCCTACATCAGTCCAGAAGCAACAATCATAGAGAATGCATAAACGCTACAATTGACAAGAGCACAAAAACAGACACCAGAAGTCCAGAAATACATCCCGATCGTCACTAACTAGGTATTTCACTACTAGTACTCATGTTTAGAAACGTGATTAACAGTCATCACCCATTCAAGAAACTGCAGCCCATGGTTGCTTTAGAGCAAATGACGTAGTAGCAGCAAGAGACGAGGCTTATGTTTAAAGTTAAAATTTGCAATAAAATTAATCTCTCACATGACCACAAGCATATAGAGCACATAAAGAAATAAGTTGTCGCCAGTTGCTGCAGAGTTACCACTGAATCAAGCATAGTAAATATTGTACGTACAAGAAGTCATGGAAAAAT